GCTAATTTAAATTCAGTTCGTCGAGTTTCAGAGCAAGCTACCGGGTAAGTCAGATCGCTTAAACTTTATATATATTTTTATATATATCTGTATATGTACATATACATATACAGATATGTATATGTGGAAATTGTGGCTACACTTCTAACAGTCCATGGCATAAAACTATGTGTGAGACAGTTGAAAAGGATATTGTCTCGTCTCCGTCTGAAACGAAGATTGTTTTGTGGCGACGAATCTGATATTGACGATATTGTCAGGGCAACTGAACGACAACTACAGGACAGTGGGGGGAGTATCGGGTATCGAACGATGTGGAGACGCATACAAGAAGAGCATAATTTACGTGTTAATCAAAAAACCGTAAGGCAACTCATGAAAGTTATTGATCCGATAGTAGTTGAAACAAAGAAACGTCACAGACTAGCTAGAAGGAAGTACGCTGCCCCTGGCCCTAATTATTTATGGCATGCTGATGGTTATGACAAACTTAAACCTTTTGGGTTTGCTATTCATGGTGCTGTGGATGGATACAGCAGACGAGTTCTATGGTTACACGTGTCCCCAAGGAATAATGATCCAGCGGCAGTTGCTTGGTATTACCTGAAATACTTGGAACAGCATCAGCAAGCCCCAAGAATTCTCCGATGTGATTTGGGCACGGAAAATACAACAATCGAGGTTTTACAACCATTTTYCCGCAAGGACTGCAACGATACATTCGATGGGGTGAAAAGCTTCATGCATGGGAAAAGCACAGCAGACCAAAGAATAGAGGCATGGTGTGCGTTGTTGAGAAAGTCCTGCACAGGTTGGTGGATAAATATGTTTAACGATCTCAGGGATAGGGGATTGTACAATGGTCATGATCCCGTACACATTCAGTGTTTGAGGTATTGCTTCATAGGTGTGCTTCTGGCTGAGCTTCAAAGGACAGTTATGGAATGGAACTCTCATCCAATCAGAAGCAACAAAAATGGAGAATGTCCATCCGGTAGACCAAATGTCATTTACTTTTCACCTGAATTGTATGATTCAGAAAACTTTGGGATAACGGTGGACGTTGAAGACGTTGAAATTTGTTTAGACGAATATGCAAGTCCACMACCTCCTGACTACRCTGATGACTTTCTACAACTACTACATCTGCTAAGGCCATTTGCWSAGAGACCAAACACAGTTGGTGCAGCTTGCGATCTGTATGTCGAACTTATTGAAGAGCTACGCTGTTTGTAAAGGGAGTAGACTTGAAAATTAACACCGACCTTGATCTGGATGTCAACTACATTTTTACTTGAAGTTTCCAAACATTTTCGTAATCAAGACTTTGTTAGACTTATAGTTCGCTTTAAATACTGAAAAAATACAAGTTTTATTATGCTTTTATGACATCAATTACAAGAACTGTCATATCTTTAATAAAAATTTCTATATCATAAATAACAGTAGTCCAATTATCATCAACGATGATGATACTAACAATAATTATGTCATCAATTATAATAACTATCATATTTTCAATCACAAAAAATCAAGTATCATCAATAACAATAACTATAATAACATAAAGTATATAATCTTTAATAATCAATCATTACCAATTATCAATTATAATAACTATCATATTTTCAATCATAAAAAATYAAGTATCATCAATAACAATAACTATAATAACATAAAGTATATAATCTTTAATAATCAATCATTACCCTAAGCTCAACCAAGATCGAACGCATGTKTACGAACGGCCAGAGTACGACAAGCAGAGGGAATTGCCTTTATGTGTCTTTCAGGATTACCTGAAACTGAACAAAAACCGACTGTATATTTGTTTAAATAATTAACACACAACGCCGAATGGAATAAAGTATAAAAACTATAAGTGTGTAATTTAAAAAAACTATTAAAACTAAACATAGTGCGCGCTAAATAGCGATAAATTGCTAATCCTATTGTTTTCAATAGCTTTTTAAACAATGCTTTGCATTTTTTAGTCCTATAAAAATAGCACTGTATAGGACTTGATAGTGAAAACTATTGCACACTTTTACTGTTTGTACTCTATAGTTTAAAGGTTCCTTTTCAAAAGTAATTGTAAATATGATTATATGTCTAACTATAACAAAACATTCAAAACCTAAAGTTCTCCTGTCATTTGCAGTCGAACGGGCCTCTAATTTAGTGACACACGGACATAATACTGAGAAGATGTTCAAGGGCTTTGAGTTATTTGCCCCTTACCCAAAATGACACCGCATTAAGGATATCAATTGCACGTGGAYGTTTCGTTGGATCGTACTCCAAACAGTTGGTTAGAATAGGAGGCAACTGGTTTAATGCTTCAGGGCTTTTCTCTTTCTGCAGCAGTGATTCCACATCGACACAAGCCTCCCCTGATACGTCTTGCCAACAATCTTTTTCTGAAACAAGCTCAACCAATGTGCAAVCAAGGGACCATATATCTGAGTGTAATGTTCCTGGTTGTTTGTCCAGTAAACATTCAGGAGCTAGATATTGCGGCGTACCCGGGACTCCATTGGTAGCTGTGGTTGCTATTTCTGTCTTGATTTTGCTCAATCCCATATCACACAGTTTCGTCGCAACAGATTTCTTGTCAACTAGGACATTTGCTGGCTTGATGTCGCGGTGCACTACTGCAGGTTTCAGATGATGCAAATAGGTCACTGCTTGACATATTTGTTTGGCAACAAGGACTTTGTCTTGAAGCAGCATTTCTCGATGGCTGTGTGCTTCAGAACTTTCATCACAAAATAAAATATCTTCTAGGTTAAACCCGTCCACTATTTCTGACACTATGTAAACAGAATTCTTGAGCAGGGACATGGCCATTATTTGGACGATATTGGGATGGCGAACCATATTGTGTACCTGCACTTCTGCTTCAAAAACAGATTGCATACTTTTGGCATTTCGCAATTTTATATGTTTCTTTTTTCAAGCATATAACCTAACTGATTAACCTTAAATAAAGGTGTACACTGAAAACATCTACTACATCTACCTACCAATGCTAAATAAGCATCTTTCTAACTGGAAAAATGCGTGGTCTCATCATCCTCTAAGAACTGAAAAGAACCTGAGCCCCATCCAGCTGTGGATACGTGGCGTTCACCTAACTGATGGCTCCACATTGGATGTTGTTTAGGTATGCAAATTCAAATGTATGGCCATTTGAAGGCCCATTTTGCAACCTTGTCAATCAAAAAATTTGTTTTCTTTTGATTTTATTCCTGAATGGAGCACAAACAATCAAAGTGTATTACAATGTATTACTGCTTAATACACTAGTATTGTGTCACAGGTTCTTTTTGAAAATCACACTGTAACAGTATAGTGACAATATCACATTTATTCTTGGGTTGTTCCTTGCAACCTCAGTTTTTTCAACTAAAGTTTAACAAAATAATTTGAGGCAAATGGTGTAAAACCCATGCAGTTTATTCTAATGTGTTGGGGACTCATGGTTGTCACCATCACATCTCGATGAGACTGTTCACTGATAGCAAAATTCAGACAAAGAATACAATTCAAAACACTTTTTGATGGTGTGACAACCTTTGAACACAGTTTTATATGTGTTTAATATTTATCTATCTCACCCTGGTATATAGAATATGGATGAGTATGGAATTGACTGGTAGGGTCTTTCACCCATGGAGGAAGAAGCTACCATTGAAGTTCCTGATACGCCCTGCTGTTTAAATGATGCACAGTTGGCATCAATACAGGTTATCAGCCAGGAAACGGAAGATCATGATCCATATGCCATAGCTTTATACAGCAGAATTGTGAGTGAGGTAGAAGGATTTTTAGAGTGAATTCAGTGATGATTCAGAGCCATTGCAATAAATAATTTTACAGTGCAGACACTCAAACACTTTTGATGTTTTTCTTTTACATAAATTAAGGCTTTCAAGAGCCAATCAAATCATTAACATCTTTTAAACGACTTTACAATGTCGAGGATCAGTTTCTTTAGTTTGTATTTCAATAATGTTTAATTTTGTATGTTTGACAATAATTATTAATCAAGAAGGTGTATAAAATGTTTATTCGAGAGCAAGTCATTGAACTTGATAACTTGAAGATATATTTACCCCAAACAATGCTGCCATTTGGAATTTCTGAAGGCAAGGGTATTGTACAGTACTTGCATGGGAGAGGGGTTGGCTGTAATTAGTATACCTTTGCAGAAGGTTTGAACACAGATACAATTAGGACGATAGTCGTGGTGTTAAAGCATTTTTGAAAATCCTGGTTGCATGGTTGGGGGTACAGATCTATATCCTTTCTGAAATTAAAATCCATTGCTTTTTTAAATTCCAATCACATTCCTTTTCCTGATTCACACATTAACAACATTATTAACAACAACAGTGATCTTCTCTCACTTGATATACAAGTCAACTATTTGAAAATCATCTATTTTTTGAAAGATGACATGATACCTTTCTCTAGCATATCACAATATTCAAATTGATATTATATGACAATGCCCTAATGGAACAATAACTATAACACAAACTGTAACATTGAAACATAGGATTATAAAAATAGATAATCTGAAACTTCATTGACTTAAAAGTCATTTATGATTCCATAGGACCTATGAAAAGCCTATTAAAATATTATCTGATTTAAAATCTTATATAATAGTTAATAAATTGTTATGTTTAAAAACTGCTGTCTAGCTTAGTAGTGAAACTTTAGACCTCACTGCTTATATATAAACATTTACAGTTATTCATACCTCTCCAGAACAGCCATCTCTACACTACGGCCACAATTTGTAGCACGAAAATGTGGCCACTGTGTAAATCTAAGCTACTGTACATGTTGTTGCAAAAATCGTCTCAGACAATGAATAACAAAAGAGCTTGAATTCTGAATTTTAAATTGACTTTGGGATATTGAATATAGAGTTTCCCAATTTTGACTATCAACTTTTGCAATTTTGACTATCAAACTTTGGTGGCCACTCTTGGCCAAACTCAGGGACTATTGGCGACGATGAGAGCATAATTTGTTCAAGATATAAGAGCGGTTGTCCGTGTCGGCCACGTAAGACGTGTAAAATGCGAAAATTCAAAATCCTTCAAACTTCGTCAAAATGTAGACCTATAAGAACTAACAACGTTGTGTGAGTTTCATCTCGATCAGATAAATATTTTAGGAGATAGGCGTCTACATTTGATTTCAAAGTTCACTTCCGGTTTTTCGAGGCCATTCTACAGCACTTCCAAAAGTACTCTGGATCTCAAAATATTTTGTGTATTTCAACCAAGAAAGAAACGCTCCATAAACTAGAGATAATGTCTTATCAATAGGCTTTTTTTTAAAAACATTTGGACTTGTACTAAATATTTTAAGGATTTTTCAATCATTTTTAATTTTTCAAGCACTTTTGCGTAGGTGAAATTACGTGCCAAATAACTCTACTGTTACATCGATTCACGAATAAAAAATATCTTTTCATCAAAGAATCATGTTTCCTCTTTGTAAATATAAAATAAAATTTTTGGGCAACTGAAAATTGAATTTTTTATGATTTTTTTTGTAACGTCCATTTGACCCGAAAATCATTTCACTATAGTCAACACGGATTTTTCCCCAAACAAATATACAAAGCCTTCAAAAATGCTTTATCCGTGGCTGTGGATATCTTTTAAAATACTTACATTTTATATTCCGTCATTTTAAGAATATTTTCTAGTGCTTGACAAAAGGTCAAAGAACACCAAATTAAAATGCTTCAGCCAACGGTGAAGGTCCCCTTTCAAACTATAAAAAATTATAAACATAATCCTCCTATCTATTGGATAACTAAAGGCTAGAAAAATCTTATAACGATCCTACCTTGAAGTTTTCATCATCCTGAAACTTGGAACTTGGAAATCATCTTCAAATCTGCCGTAAATCTGTGCGAATCTGAACTGTCCGACGTAATGTTAAGATTGCGTGACAAACATGTAGCCCAATATTATTTCTAAAGGCGGAGTTACACGTTGTGACCTGTCGGTCAGCGTTTTATTTATTTATCTTATCTTATCTTATCTTTTTTTCTTTTTTCTTTTTTGTTTGCTCTAGTTTTACCCGTTTGAATGATTCAAAAATCGAGCCAACAAGAGAAAAATCTCTCTTACATTGCAACTCTATCGTGCCGATTTCTACCGTTTCTGCAACATCCGGCCTGCGAATAACTAAGAGAATATGAACAAAACGGAAAAGAACAAAAGCCTAGTTATATCATCTTCAGATTTTCGGTATAACTTGGTATCTACACTCTTCTATAGTTGTAAGAAGTCCACTCCCGGACTCCCTTTTCTGTCCGCTCCAACTAGCCTGCGTTACATCCGGAATTTTCTTTGTAAAGTCCGTAGACTTTATATAGACATATTGCTGAAATGATAATTGCACAACTTATCAATAAATTGTTTTAATATATAATTCGGTTTGCTCGCCATCATGACTGAACGGAAACAGAAGCTATAGTATTTCTGGAGTATGAGGCTCTTTCATGGGGCAAAGGGTCTATTATTGAATGGGTCTATTACTCAGTCGACACTGTGTGATAATACTTTTTGCATTCCTAAGGAGATCGCTGAAAATGGTTGAAACAGTGATTGAAAGGTAGCAATAGAAGGCGAAGAAAGTTTATGTAAACAAAAGTCTCCCCCCCTCCCCTCCCCTAAACCTGTAAGCTAAATACGGTCAGCTTTACAATATATCTGCGGCATTAGACTTACGTGAACCAACAGGTACTAAACACTTCGAGAGGTGGTATAAATCCTTGGACTGTGCAAGCGTGATCCCTCTGTCTCCTTTTCCTTTGCTCTTTTTATGCGCTGACAACTCTATGGGAACTGAGCATGTTTTCTTGTTGCAAAACCATCTGGTCCCATACCTTTCGCGGTGTCTAGGACATATAGTTCTCTTTATTTCTTGTTCGATATTTTCAAAAATCCCTGCCAATAAATAGACAAAGACTTGTGGTTCACACTAAACTGAAAAAACAAAAGCGAATAAAAGGATGACTGGATGTGTGTGCGTGTCAGTGTGTCTCACCGGCTCGAGCTAATAGAAGTCGAGATTCTGCCCTCAAACTTGAATCGTTCACAGCAACCGACCTCAAGTGACCCTTGATATCTTTATTACAATCGCCAAGAAGGACGCACTCTTTATCAGCTGGATTACTAATGCTGGGACCACATGAACCTTCAACAAGTGAGGAATAACTGCAAGCAGCCATGCAGAACAGAGAAGATATCTCGGGAAATCCCCTGAAAAATCATAACATTTCATAGGAAAGTTTAAAGGACGAATAATTGTATGGTATAAATGAAAATCACAACTGATCACAAGTTGTATACTTACCGGTACAGGTGTTGATAGATTCTTGTCTTTAGTAATTAGTTATTCCAGTAAATTGTAAGAAAAACTATCAATCCTCAAAAAATATCTTTAAAATAATAACAAAGACAACGGCAGGATAAGGGCCGGAGCTGTTTTATGCTACCCAACGAAGTAAACTGCTTGCGAAATGTATTCCTCGTGATCAGAACAGGAGAAGTTACGGAAAGTGTTAGTGAAGTGTGAAAATTATATTGTGTTACAACTATAGTTGTGCACACATTTACTAGGAAAAGAAAATCATGGTAAAATCACAATTGTCTAAGTACCAAGATTGGATATTAATGTCTGAGCTCTAAAATCGATAACGATTGTAATAAACGTGGGTACAAACAATACACACAARCAAGACAGTGCTTGTATAGTACAAACGCTGACTTGATAATATTGGGCTACCTGTTTGTCACGCAATATTATCGTTACGTCGGACAGTTCAGATTCGCACAGATTTACGGCAGATTTAAAGATGATTTCCAAGTTTCAGGATGACGAAAACTTCAAGGTAGGATCGTTATAAAATTTTTCTAGTCTTTAGTTATCTAATAGAAGGATTATGTTTATATTTTTTCATAGTTTGAAAGAGGACCTTCACCGTTGGCTGAAGCATTTTAATCTGGTGTTCTTTGACCTCTTGTCAAGCACTAGAAAATATTCTCAAAATGACGGAATATAAAATGTAAGTGTTTTAAAAGATATCCACAGCCACGGATAAASCATTTTTGAAGGCTTTGTATATTTGTTTGGGGAAAAATCCGTGTTGACTATAGTGAAATGATTTTTATTTATTGCCGATCAGTCGGCGTGATTATGTAAATATGCGTGATTTTCGGGTCAAATGGACGTTACGAAAAAAATCATAAAAAATTCAATTTTCAGTTGCCTAAAAACATGGAAACATGATTCTTTGATTAAAAGATATTTTTTATTCGTGAATCGATGTAACAGTAGAGTTATTTGGCACGCAATTTCACCTACGTAAAAGTGCTTGAAAAATTAAAAATGATTGAAAAATCCTTAAAATATTTAGTATAAGTCCAAATGTTTTAAAAAAAAAAGCCTATTGATAAGACATTATCTCTAGTTTATGGAGCGTTTCTTACTTGGTTGAAGTACACAAAATATTTTGAGATCCAGAGTACTTTTGGAAGTGCTGTAGAATGGCCTCGAAAAACCGGAAGTGAACTTTGAAATCAAATGTAGACGCCTATCTCCTAAAATATTTATCTGATCGAGATGAAACTCACACAACGTTGTTAGTTCTTATAGGTCTACATTTTGACGAAGTTTGAAGGATTTTGAATTTTCGCATTTTACACGTCTTACCTGACCGACACGGACAACCGTTCATAAAAGTTAGAGCAATAAAACTAAATCCATAAAATAAATAATAATTGTTAATTGTGTAATAGTTCTAATTTCGTTACYATTAGTCAATATCACTCAACGAGAACAACCTTTAATGAATACCATACACAAGAGGCATCAAATACACAGGAGACAATAAAAAAGTAATAATATGTGATTGCATTTAACTTATGGACCTTTGGCTGGGATAAATGCATAATTGAATGCAGATTCACTAGCTCTGAAAATGCTTTAATTTCTGTGGGATAACTGGCGTGATTTAACACAATTAATCTTCTGAAGGTTCTAATTGACTATTTGCTGCATCCTTAGCGAGGAGAAGGAAAAACTAGAAATCGGGAAAATATTTTTAATTTTTGGAAAGTGTTGGAATGCATGCGCTCTTAAACCGTAAATCCAAGAAATCCTGCTTTCAAAAAATGGATTTTGCCAGAGCCCTTGTTCTTCACTGCAGACCAGAAGAAACGTAGTCTCTGGGTACGAGATTGCTTGGACAAGGAAAAACACATTTGTTTGGTAGGCCATCGCACGCGCATAAAATCATAAGAACTTACTTGGGCTGGTAGCGGCCAGTTCGTCATTTTCTGGTGAAAGAAGGGAAAAAAGACACCTATATCATCATCTCCGAGGGGAAAAAATATTATTGCTTGCTAGGTAAATGCACGTTCATCGGTTTCGTACAGTCAATCATCACTACTAATTTCACTTTCTGAGGAAAGAAGAAGAAAAAGGAATATGAATATTCAGTCATAAGAATACTCGCACTTTGTAATTAGTGCTTCGAGCATATAGAGGAACCCTTCGTTTCAAAGAAATGTTTTCGCTTCTGGTTGACAAACTTCACGGTGCTTTTCCGGCTTTTTGCTTTTGAACAATTATCATTAAGAAGGGATTGCAGCTAAAAATATTCTTTCTTTGCCGTTTGGGGTACTACTACAACCCCAAACGACATGCTGGTTCGGCATGTTCACTTACAAATTTGCTAAATAAATAAATAAATAAACTTTATTTGAATGCAGAATCAATTTCAATTACCCTTCCTTGGAGCTGTATAAAAAATTTACGATGCTATTTACACATGAATAATTAAATTATAAATTTATATTAAAATTTTTAATATTAATTTCATAGTAAAAACTATATGTAATTGCATTTAAAGAGGTGATCTGTAGCCTATTTAGACATTCCACAGACCACCTGTCACTATTTGTCGGACAGGCCTTTACTGGTAGATGCCCAAACACAACTAGAATAGTCAAGGTATGGTAAAATCAGAGCTTTATACATACTGAGACGAGTGTCAAATGGTGTAGCTGTTCCTAGACGCTTCAAAATAGATAAATCTGCTCTAATTTTCTTTGATGTTTCCATAGTTACTTGGCCAAGTTGAAATTGTCTTCCAATAATAATGTACTTAGTTTTCTTAACATTTAGAGATTATTTATTTGTTCTAAGCCAAGTCGGTATGTTTTCAAGTTCTTGAATCATTAGAGTTTGAAGCATAATGGGATCTTCTGCTGCTGCAGTTAGAGTAGTGTGATCAGCATACATACTTGAGAATGAACGTACAAGATGTCGACCAAATCGTTCGAAAGTGTGTTGATGAAGGAAGTCAGTTTACGTTACTATTCTAATTTTTTTTAGTCTTGTTTTATTCTTGGGGTCATTCTTGTAATCAATCATCTTTATATTTAGGTAGAAAGATGATGTTTGGCTATGTTAGTAGTAAATATTATTCATTTACAAAACAACAAAAAAGAGAATCCTTAAAGAGAGTGAGTCCTGACAATAATCGAAAACGCCGGTCAGATGCCATCAGAAGAAGCAACCCTACACACTACAACGCACTATACTACAGACAAAAGCTTCACTGTGAACAAAATGAGAAGTTACAAAGATATGGTTGTACGTTTATAGCCTTCAGTGATGGACACAGTCGCAAAATTGTCTCTTTTTCTCATGACAAATCATAGCATATTCACACTTAAGGTAAGTAAGCTGTCAGGAGCCGGTTGTATAAAGGCTGGGAAAAACTATCCGCCGGATAAGGGCTAGCCAGTGTATAAGATTCAGGACGGCTTTTATGTCTTAGATTGCGCTATTCACCCTTGGTACTAATACAACCAGTAATAATAATATTATATAATAATAATATAATAGTTCCTGAGCATTATTAGAACTAAATGCTCTTACATAATTGTCCTAAAGTCAAAAGCAATAAATATAAATTTACAATATCATTGAGATAGATACCAATGAAATAGATAGATACCAAGAAAAAATCAGAACGCGAACAAATAAAAGGAAAACACGTCGGGCTATTTGGGTCGAAAATTGTCTCATTCAATTCAGCCGAAAGGGAGAATGGGAGGAGCTCGGTTACCAGCTTCGCTATAAAATATTAAAATATGCCTTCTTTTGACTGTCTCTCCCCCCAAGGGGAACATATTTGCACCAAAAATGGCGGCAAAATCGAAAAGAACGTAAACAAAGCTCTATTTTGGTGTATAACTTGCCTAAATCTATGGATGCTTCTCTGACAGAGACAACGCTTATTAGGTAAGTAATTTTGCTCATGGTTTTGACAAACTAGAAGCTCTTTCTGGATTATTTTTATTAAGAAAAACACTTTAAATCGAAAAATTAAAACGACAGATTTGTAGTGCYCTTTCCAAGCTTTGTATTGATATATTGACATGTTCATTAGCTCACAGGATTCGACAAGTTCTACCAGCGAGTTTGTAGACACATGTACACCGSTTGCACCAAAGCGGAAAGGACGGTTCAATGTTGGTTTATATGCTAAACGAAGAAAGCTCATTATGGAAAAGCTAGTAGATGAAAAATTAGCCACAGATGTCAAACTCAAGAGCTTCCAGAACAAGCTGAATTATAGAAAACGAAAGGTGGGCTTTTCTTTGGATTACTGTATTTTTGATTGGACTATTCATTGCTTAAGATTGTAGGAAAGCATGCATATAACTTATAGAATAAAAACAATTGCCTTGTATTGTTGTAAGCATCGTGTTGTACTCAWTTCATAGTATGCATTTATAGGCTGATATTTTGCCATGGCCTAAATTAAATCTTACTTTTTTTTTTCTTGTGTGTACATGCCGACACATTAAAACCTACTAGGTTTTCCAAAAATATAGATCATATTGAGACCTGTTACTTGTAAATCCCTTAAAACCTTTTTTAATATTTTACTATCTTTACATTACAAAGCTGGAATCAAACTAGTTGATACAAACTCTCTTATAAGCTTAATAGATTTTCTATATATCATGTAAACATAACTTTATGTAAAAATGTAAATCTTATTGAAGACCACTTAAATAATTGATCACACTGAAAAAAACACAATTCGAAAATTATTCAATCTTTGAATGACACTTTTAAATTATGAATCACTTTTTGTYCTGWAATTTGCAGTGTGATGACYTGGAMGARCAGCTTCCTTCATCAAAACRAAAGGCAAGGTTGCCAAACACACAAAGCAATCTCAACAAAGAAAACAGTGACTTCCTTGATTTATCTAAAGCCCAAAGTCATCGAAGGCGCACTGCAACAATAAAGGTTTTGAGGGAAGTTCACTGCACTGCAAGATCAACTGATAATAAACCAATAATGAACGGAATGTGGTCAACTTTGGTCAATAATAACTCAGTAAAATTTATGGAGTCTTTAATAGGAACCTCCAAGGTTTGCACTAGCAAAGTTATTCCAAGCATTGTAAAGAAAAATGTGCTAAGTTATGAAAATAGTGAAGACAACTTCATACGAAGTACAGCTTTGCTTTATAAAGGAGGGATCTTAACAAAAGTGAAATACAAGGAAATGAGAAAAGAAAGAATAAACTTCATGTCAGATGTCCCAGTACCAAGACCTGTAGCCTATGATAGACTAATGTCATATATAAAAGGCATCAATATGGGAGATGTGTTAGATCTTGAGGTAATTAACTATAAATCAATTATTTTCATTAACATCTAATTATAAAATCATTAAGTTAATTCACCCCTCAGCTGGAAGCTTGAATTAAAATTCTTATAAAATATGTAACAGAATTTTTAACAGAACTTAATAACATTTTGCTTGCTATTAACAATATTGTTTGAATTAATTTTTAGTTTTAATTTTTTTAAAATTTCCATTGAATTTTTATCATTGCTTTTTTTTACTTGTTTCAAGACATGAGTAATGAAATTATGATGGCAATATGTGTGATTGAATGAACAAAATGATGATACTAAATAAATTACATAAATTATTATACCTTACTGTTTATGTACATAAACCTCAAGCTTGTTTTCACTTAATAGGACTTTGCTGCAGAGAAAAAGAAAACTCCAGTACCTGGAGTTTATCGGCCCTTAGAGAGCTTACTTGTGAGACTGGCAGACACATACTTGTTGTTGAATGAACAATCACAGATCCTACACTGGTTTAATGGCAATAAGGGGGATTTTGTGGTGGCAATTGGAGCTGATGGAGCCCCATTCGGAAAGGATGAGACAGCAACATCATACCTAGTCAGCTTTCTGAATATATTGGATGGAGTGCAAAGCTGCGATCACAACTATTTGTTGATGGGAGCTAATTGTGATGAAAATCATGAGCTTATGATTGATTATACTAAACATGTCGTTAAGGAAATGGAAGAGATAGAGAACAAAAAGTATGAGTTGAGAGGTACAACTGTTACATTTCAATGTAAGCTAATTCCTAGTGATCAAAAATGGATGTCATCTATGGCAGGAGAACTGAACAATGCTGCTACTTACTTCTCATTTGCTGCTGTGTCTAAAAAGGACATGAACATTATAAATGGTAAAATTGGAGATGATTCTAGCTGCACCTGGAAAAAGTGGAGTTATGAAAAGAGAATGAAAGATGCAGAGTCAGTGAAAAAATTCAAAGAAAAATACAAAATTCCTGATAATTCTAAAAATAGTAATCACAGAAAAAAAGTAACTGAATACATTGCTTCTATAAAATCAAGACAAGAGTTCAGTCCTCCACTGGGAAAATATGTGGATTACCTTAAACCAGAGCCACTGCATAATAGCAACAATGCTTGGCAGCACTGGAATTTGGATGCCTTAACTACTGCTATGCAACTAACTGATAGAGCTGACATCGACAAAGCTAATGGAAACATTACTCACCTGCCAGATACTACACCAGTGGCTAAGTACATGAGCTTGTTGAAAGAAACCATGAAGGCTGGCAGACTGTACAAGAATCTGGTAAAATGGTTCAGCGAAAAGAAAAAAACTGAAGATTTCTCATACAGATTTACAGGAAAAGAGTCCAAACTCTTTTGCTGGCATTTTATGAAAATTTGTAAAACTCTGATTGCTTCTAAAGGTACAGTATCACTCATCAGTAAATAATCTTTATTTTTCATATTTGTCTATAATGTAACAATATTTGTAATGTGATGTAGTTTTTTTTTTACAATGATTATGAATAGGACTCTAAAGGAACAACGAATACTTTATATTTTTTTATTAATTTTATAAATATCTTTCTTCCAGGTATCTCTAAGACTACCTTACTACATGTTTACAGTCTTGCGTATGCAGGCCTTTGCTTACGGAACTGTGTTTCCCTCTTCAGTAGAGTTCATATCAATGAGAGTGATATCAATTGTCTTCGAAATGAGTGTGAACAATATTACAAGTGCCAAGCTATTCTTTTAAACAGAATCAAACCAACCACATGGACAATTGGTAAAGCTATCCCTTATTACACAGCTGAGATGTATAATGATTTAGGGTTTGGGTTGGGACTAAATAGCATGCAAGGCAGAGAAGCAAAACATGCAAAGCTTGCATGCTATGCTAAAAATACTACTAAGGGTAAGCATCTGCGCTGGTGGCAAATTTTTAAACATGAGTTCATGGAGCTTATATGGCTAAAGGAGAAAGATCACAAACAGGTTGCCAAGAAACTGCTGTGCACACCATCCGAGATTGATAGCATCCAAGAGGGATCTACTAGGGATAAGTATATCCCTCCATACTGCCTAAGCAACAGCAAATTTTGTTACTGTGGTCAGCCAAAGTCAAGTTCCGAGACTGCCTGTGATGTTTGTTACTCAGATATGTTCAAAGCAGTGATGCAATCATGCCAGGATGGAAATGTCAACAGAAAGCTTAAGGAGATGGTACCTCAACTACGCATCACTTAATATTTGCAAGTAAATTAAGACAGGTTAACATAATTATGTATTAACCGTGCTGTCATAATAGCATTCAAATCGATACCTGTCTGAAAACATTCACATGTATAGTTGAAGTTCTCTATTTCAAAACTTAAAGTACTCATCATCATGTAATCGTTTGATAAAGTAGTAATATTGATCTCTATGGGTGAATCATTTTTTTCCCTGTGTTAATTATAATATAACGAAAAAGGAACTTTGCGACATTTTACCTCATTGGAAGAGTAAGAATTCGAATGCTAAACTAATAGGTTCAGTGCTGAGGAATACCAAAAGAGTTCCAATACCCATAGTTGAATGAAATTGTAAGGACTTCCTTCTTGAGGCTGTATTTAAAGGTGAGTGGCTTATCTCTGGACAACAGTACTTCTGCAACACCTCTATCCTCAAATTTTCTTTTAAACATCTCACTTTTTTCCAAGTAAAAACCATTTTCGTTAACCTTGTTCATCATGTAGACAGCTTTGCTATTGTCTTCGAACACAATCGTAACACACGCATTGGTTGATGTAGAGGTATGTCCAAAACTATTTTGTTCTATAATCTGTTTCCTTAWAACATTGAAAACTTCTTGTTGTACCTCCTGCTTAAAGCTGCAGAAATATGGAGACGATGTAGTTGGGGTACTTCTAAGTCTTCGATATATTGCGTCGTGAATTTGAACTAGTGTTCGAAAGGCCATAGGACCAATATCAACTATTTGATGGCATTTTTTTGTATTTTCGGGGATAGAACCATCGTGTTTCTCCATTATCGTCTCCATAAGTGAGTTGAGTTCTTTATAAACGTTATCAATGAATAATTCATCACGTTTGCTTTCGGTCTTTACTGAAAGCTTCCAACTTAACACGCTTGATCTTACTCTCTGCTTCGTTTGTTCTGACGCCATGTTATTTTAAGCCCGCGATTTTACCAAGCGGTATCGTTTTTAAGGTAATTACCCAGTGTGCCATTCGGGGCGTGAAATGAGACAATTTTCGACCCAAATAGCCCGACGTGAAAAAATCAGGATGTGAACAAATAAATTTTAAGCGCTGATTTAAACGAGCATATCGTACTAGCAGTTCTAACTATGTATGGTAGCGAGTTCCATAACCTAGCAGCAGCTACGGAAAAAGATCGGTCTCCATATGTCTTAGGATTAGATTTAGGAACAACTAATAAATTTTAGTTAGATGATCTTAGATTTCTTGCTGGTTGATATTTAACTACTAAATCAGAAATGTATTTAGGAGCCTGTCCATTTAAAGCCTTAAATGTAATCAACAAGATCTTAAAATTAATGGTGTAATATGGTGTAATATGTTCGTGTTTTTTAGACCTAATGACTAATCTAGCTGCCGTGTTCTGTATGCTTTGTAGTTTGTCCATTTGCGAGTCTGGTAACCCATACAGGATAGCATTACAATAGTCTAGCCTTGATGTTATAAAGGCGTGTACAAACTTTTCACAGTCTGCTTGCGTCAGGAATCTGCGGATCCTGCCAATGTTCTTAATGGCAAAAGAAGCAGATTTACATATGCTGTTAATGTGCTTGTCTAGGGTCAGATGGTTGTCAACTATCACCCCAAGGTCCCTTGACGCAGGTATAGGAGAAATGATCTACCAGTACCAGATTTTTCCTGATAGTGACTGGGTAGGAGACTAGCCGGAAGGATATCCTCGGAAACGGCCTACATTAGCTTAAAACATGACAAATGGTTTTCAATTGCTAATTACGTATCAATATTCTCTTAAATTATAATAGAGATCTTATGTTAAGAGAAGGAATATGGGATATGATAAGAGTTGACGATGGGACAGAATTTGCTCTGATGTTATACATTCAGCCACTGCTTAAAGATTTTCGTTCAACATTGTGAGCCAGTCATGTCAGGTAACGCAAATCAGAAATACCAAYCTTTAAGAATTTTCAGTTTGATTTGCTTGAGCACTATTAAAGTAGTGATAATTTTAGATATATTCAAATTCATTTCACAAAATTTAAGAGCTGAAAGAAAATGGCCAGAGCTGAACCAAAGGGTGATTAACCCAATTAAAGAAATACTAGTTTCCATGGAAAACCGTTTATTAATTCACATGTATGATCCAGTTGTTCAATTTTCTGTGTCATCTGTAACAATGCATGTTGCTGAAATTGGAGCCCAGCGAGTAGTTAGTGCTTGGAATGCAGATCCAATAGAAGGTAAAATTATGATTTACACCAGAGCATTGTAACTTTGTTATTAACATTGTCTTAAACTCCAAAAGAATTTGTGTGCTACCTAATGTTGTCGTGCACTCCCATGACAACTCTTAAACCATTTTCAATGCAAGGGAATTGCACAACAATAAACAATAGGGAAAAAATGATGTATCAACTAGAACTAGAAGGATAAGTTTTGTCTATCAACAAACTTCAATTTACAGTGATATAATAAATGACCTCAATAGGTATGAATTTCTGTATTTTTGTGTTTAATACATTCCACTGTTCTATCTGATATTTTTTCTAATATGCACTTTCCTTCAATTCAAGGTCGAACAATTAACAATACTTATTGCATTTGTGATCCTTTAAAGATTCCCATGGAATACAGTTTGTCATAACAGAGATTTCGTTTCTTGAATCATTTTACGTCTTGCATGGCTGTTGTGGCCGTTTCTGGGTCATACAGTGAAGATCCTGAACCCTGGATGTCGAGAAGCATCAGTTGTTTTTCTCTCTTTACGTATGACAATATTAGCCAAGCACTGTGCTTTTTGAAAGATGTCTTTCGCATCCTATTTTTCATCTTCGCTGGGTTTTACACATGTATCATCATTATTTACATATTTCAAAAGCTTTACAGCAACAAATTCTTCCACTGTTACTGGTTCATCCTCAGATTTCGCATAGTATACTTTGTTATGTTGAAACTCTTTTCAAATTTGGCTGGGACTTAACTGCAAAATCGCCCTGTTATATGACTTGCGACCTCATGCATTTGGACTTGCTTACTGGCATGCACCTCCACAGTCGAAGCACAAGCATCTGTGATACTTTTCTTTGTTGCTTCATAATTTATTTGATATGCAGACTTGTAATTTACTAGAAAGGGGAAAGGTGGTTGCTTCTTTAGTTTTTGTTTCTTTCTTTTTAATGTTTTTCAGCTTCCCGATATTTTATTAAAAATATCCAAGCATATATATTTATTTTACACATATAATTAGCAGTGAGATTAATCTATAACATCAAATTTCACATTTTTTAAAATCCAACCCTCAATTCACAATGCCTCAATCCAATTCTTATTCAATTCAAGGAAACCTGGATAAACATACTTTGGTCGACTCTGTTGACATGTTGTGTTTTGACGTCATGTATCACTTGTCCCGTGGGGATATATGGTATTACTTCCTTATAATAAAGAAATGAAATTTACCCTCCAGTTACGCACTTATACAGGGGAGGTAGTAAAACCCGTTGGGGTCTCCAAAGTAAAAGTACAGTATCAGGAACAGATACATGTTCTCCCTTTGTATGTTGTCGAAAAGGTAGGACCCACCTTGTTTGGCCGGGACTGGCTAAAGTGCATTCGCTTGAATTGGCCTCTGTTAAAACTGGGAACGGTAGACAGCCTAGACGACGTGCTGGATAAGCACAAAGTGGTTTTCTCAGAGGGCCTTGGGAAGTTGAAGAATTTCAAAGCGCACATCGAGCTAAAAGAAAATGCACGGCCCAAGTTTTGGAAACCTCGACCCTTAGCGCTAGCACGCAAGCCGGCCGTGGAACAAGCCCTGGATGAGCTAGAGGATGAGGGAGTGATAGTGGTGGTGAATTATAGCGAATGGGCAGCTCCCACCGTGACTCCAGTAAAGAAAGACGGCAGTTTCAGGGTATGCGGGGATTTTAAAGTAACAATTAACCAGCAACTAGATATCGACGAATACCCCCTTCCACGCATAGAAGACATCTGCGCCAGTCTTAGTGGGGGTAAACAGTTCAGCACTCTTGATATGTGCCAGGCCTACCTCCAAATGGAGGTTGATGAACAGTCCAAGCATTACCTTACCGTCAATACTCACCAAGGGCTGTTCCAATACCAAAGCTTACCGTACGGTGTGGCCTCGGCACCTGCCATCTGGCAGAGAGCGATGGATCAGGTATTACAGTGCCTCCCAGGAGTACAGTGTTACCTAGATGATATCGTAGTGACTGGTAAGTCTGAAAGAGAACACCTGGATGTGCTGGACAAGGTGTTGCAGAGGCTGGAGGAGTATGGGCTAAAGGCCAACAAAAGGAAATACAAGTTCCTCCAAGACTCCGTGGAGTATCTGGGTCACGTGATTTCTGCGGAGGGTCTACGCCAATCGCCCAAAAAGACTAAAGCCATCGTAGAGATGCTAGCATCCCAGGACGTAGCACAGCTGCGCTCGTTCCTAGGCATGGTCCAGTACTATGCAAAGTTCATACCAGATCTCGCTACGGTCCTAGCGCCACTTCATCATTTGCTTAAGAAGAATGTTAAGTGGACCTGGTTGAAGAAGGAAGCGGATTGCTTTGAGTCTGTTAAAAAGATGCTGCTGGAGGACAAAGTACTAACCCACTGTGATCCCGACCTCCCGCTAGTTATGGCCAGCGACAACTCATTGTATGGTCTCGCAGCTGTCCTATCTCATCGTATGCCGAATGAAAACGAGAAGCCGATCGCGTTCGCTTCACGTTCATTGTCAAACATTGAAAAAAAGTATTCGCAGATTGAAAAAAGAGGCGTTGTCCATCGTGTGGGGAGTAGAAAGGTTCCAGACATACCTCGAAGGGAGGAGCTTCGAGCTAATAACAGACCACAAGCCGCTGAAATATATTATGGACCCTGGGAAGGCAGTACCAGTTACCGCTGCCGCAAGGCTGCAACGCTGGTGCCTTTTCCTGGGAGCCTTCACATACACCATCCAACACCGAAACACCAAACAGCACGCGAACTGTGACGGACTTTCTCGCCTACCGCTGGCGGAAAGCCCTAAGGACAAACATGATGAAACCGAAGTTTATTTCATGACTGTGGTGGAAGATCTCCCAGTGAAAGAGAAAGAGCTCAAGAGACACACTCGCAGAGATCCAGTTCTGGCCCGTGTCCTCCAGTCAGTGCAGAAAGGATGGGAGGACGATACGATTACTCCGGAAATTGCCCCTTATGATCACCACAAGGATGAAATAACCTTACTGCAAACCCTTGACGAGGGACATATCGGGGTGGTTAAAATGAAGGGCCTCACACGCGGCCACGTGTGGTGGCCAAACATCGATAAAGACATCGAGCGTGTTGGGAGACAGTGCAAGGGCTGCCAAGAACTGGCAAGAAACCCATCATATGCACCCCTACATCGTTGGGAGTTCTCCGCGCAACCTTGGCAGCGAGTCCACATAGACTTTGCCGGACCTTTCCAGGGGAGAATGCTCCTAGTCTGCGTGGATGCCCATACGTGGCCGGAAATAGTGGTCATGAAGAACACTACTACTGAAGGGACTGTGGAGGCTCTGCGATCAATTTTTGCTAGACTGGGTCTCCCAGTGTCCAATAGTGTCCAACAACGGGCCGCAGTTCACTTCTGCAGAGTTTAGGAAGTTCACAGAAGGGAACCGAATCCGTCACATTACAGGAGCGCCCTACCACCCAGCAACCAACGGTCTGGCTGAGAGACTAGTCCAGAGTTTTAAGCATGAAGTGAAAGCAGATAAGTCGAATAGAACGCTCCAACACCAGATCGATCGGTTCTTGCTGGCGTATCGCACTGCGCCGCATGCTACTACCGGTATAAGTCCAGCGCAGTTGCTGTTCCAGAGGAATCCAAGGACCAGGTTAGATCTCCTTAAACCGAGTGTCAAGAGCACTGTAGACGGAAAGAACCTACAAGATGAAACTAGGCCTTTCTCGGTTTTCCGCGAGGGTGACCGAGTCTGGATTCGGAACTATCGAGATGGTCCCAAGTGGGTTCATGGTACTGTTCTGGAGCAGGTGGGGCCGGTGATATACAAAGTCCAGACACAGGAGAAAGTGTGGAGGAGACATTTTGAACAGCTGCGTCATGACCAGTCTCAGCTGTCACCAAGGCAAGAGCCCCCGGCTAGTACAGACGCCATGAACTTGAGTGGTCATGATGKCAAGGTCAGCACTGTCTGCCCAGTTGAGGGTGAAAGAGCGCCATCAACCCCTGATCCTAAGATGGATGTCAGTCATGTATTGTTTTCACTAGGAAAACCTTTGTTATGTAGCTAAGGGGGGAGGCGTTGTAGAGTATTGGGGTGCCTGTGTTATTACGTGTCAGAAGTAATGAGAATAAACGTGGTTCTGCCATCTTGTCTAAAAAGTCCTCGTGAAAACTCAACATTCAGTTTTCGTCGTGAAGTCCTTGTTTCCTTTCTTCCGCCATCGTTTACAGAATGGAATAAAGAGAAGCATCCCTTTTTGCATAAATCCCGTATGAGGATTGGGGGATGATGTCCCAATTGTAGCAAAAGTGGTTGTTTTGGTGGTTCGACAGGTTTTTAGGAAGCTGTTGTACCATCTGATCAATTTCAAAATCCAAAAGCTCCTCCTCACTAAATGTCTCGGAGTCTGATAAGTCTTCCTCCGAATCTTCAACCCACTTTCCCTTCATAATGATCACTGATTTGTTGACTAGGGTGTTGTTGTTGTTGACAATTTTTATTCTTTTGTACGAAAACATTGAATGATTATATTCGCGACTGCAAAGGAATGTAGAAAAAAATGACAAACTGTTTAAACTGGTGTGGCAGTTTTTATAAGCTTACCTGCTTAAACTTGATCTTTTCTTTAGTGTCTGTGGTCTTTTTCTTGTGAGTGTAGTGTGTTTTGTAACATTCCTTGAAATTTAAAAACTCCCTTTGCTGCATCACTTGTACCATAAGGGGTTTGAGTCTGTTGGCTTTTTCCACTACCTTTTGCCATTCTTCTGGAAGATTGACCATGGCAATTCGCTTTCTCTTCTCTATTTGTGCGAAGTCTGTATCATTAGGGAGGAATGTGTGTCCACGCATGAGAAACTTGTGATTCATCACTCTGTACACACCTTTCCTCACGAATTCGCAATAAAGTGCCATTATTATGATGTTTTTGTTCTGACCACCACAGCCGTCAGAGTAACTCACTAAAGACTTTGCTCCTGTTAAAAAGATAAGGTCTTTATAAGTTAAAGTATGTAACAAAGCATAATCTCTATACTTAGAGATGCTTAGGCCTGTTTATTTCGTCTAGAATAGTGGACTGCGAGTCTTGAAGTGTGGCTTCTTTTTCCTATGCTTCCAGGTCTTCTTCATTCAACTCTTTGGGGAAGCACGGATGGCGTAGCGGTCGCGAGTTCGAGTCCCGCCGGGTTCGGTGTTGTATATGAGTAGAGTTGTTTGTTGGTTCTCTCCTGTGCTTCGAGGGTTTTCTGGGTTCTCCGGTTTTCATTACTCCGCTAAAAGCAACTCCTAAATTCCAATTCGATCACGGAATGAGGGCCACAGGTTTGTTAGCCACTGGCTATTAAGTGCTACCCTCGTGAAAAAAAGACGTTTTTTTTGTCCTCTTGCTCGGCGGCCTGCAATCAAAGGTCGACACCCATTTGCTGCTGCTGCAGTTTCGAACTGTTTCTCGAAAAAAGCTCTTTCCCATTTCGAGGTTTCTTCAATTTCATGTCCCTTGAGACTGATAGGGGGTCTGCCTTATTCCCGCGTCTTTCACCCAATTCAAACTTTTCGATCAAGAACGCTTTGACTTTTTCCCCAAACCTTGGTCTCTTCTTACTTATTTTTAGCGCCCAACCTATGGAACGAGCATTGCTTGTTGTTGRTGGGCAAAAGAATTATCCATGTGTGCTTTTGCCTCTCGCTCAGATCTAAAAGTCAAGATACAAGTACTCTCACTGAATGAAAAGATTTCTGATTGCGTAGTGCTAATAACGCCTAGTTTTTTATGATGAGGTCCAAATTGGTTGAATCACTTTTCAAACTTTCAATAACTTGTCGATCTGCTTGCAGGTCTTTGTAGGTGAGCACTTTACCTTTCCCAATGTCGTAGCCTTTCCAGAGTCTTATTCCACGCGGCTCATAATTAACTTATCTTTGGAATTTTGTTAGCTTCATGAAGGTCTTTGGAGGAGTTCACCTCAACTACAGCTGCGCTTCAACCTTTTTATCCTCCATAAGACTCCAGAGCTTTCTAGATGTCTTATGCACTCATTCACGAACCGTCTGATGTGGGCTTTCATTGGAGCAGTTTTCCTATCGCAAATGTCTTTGCCAGCTTACTTCTTGAGGGTCAGAAAAGTCATAGCAAATAGGTGTGACACCAGTTCTTTTGCCAAGTTCTGGAAGGCAGAGCAGCAGCGGGCCATTGTATAGTATGTACTCTATAATTCTCGTCTAACACCGAAGCTAATAAGATGTGAACTCATGTCTTCATCACATTTCACCAATGGCAAAATTATAAAATCGGATCCAAATGGACCACAAGCCGAGCTTTGGGAGCCGAACGAATGTCAAGAGTCTAAACAAAAATGAACGTGTGTGGCAAATAGTTTATTGGGAAATAGTAAACATGTGTGGCGAAATCGTACATCATTATTCATGACTTCTCATGGTTTCTCGTTTTCTCCTAAGAAATTCACTAATAATAATACCTTTTAACATTTTTAGGCAAATGTCGACATGTTTTAGGTCGTAAATGTACGCGTAATGCAAAAATATTAGAACGATTTTACATAACCCACTTTTAACAACTGGAGTCAAATAACATGCTAATTAGAAAACAAGAAAATTAATTTGTAAAAGAGACTATATAAATACCTTGTAAACAAAAGAATCTAAACTCTGCATCTTGAATTTCTTCCTTATTTAAAACAATATTATTGCTTTTTGCGCAAAAATATAATTGAACCTAATGATGACGGGTCGAACATTGACTTTTGGGGGAAAATTGAGAAGTCCGAGATCGCCAGCTCCTGTCACCACCTCTATTCTATGATGGTTTCAAAAGAGAAACACAAAACAGAGCTTTCGATAAGTCTTTTTGAGCTTATTTCATTGACCAGAAAGCATTTTTGAAGTAAAATAGCGAAAGAGGACTTAATTGGCATATGGCGCGAAAAAGCCGAACCAATTAGGACGAATACACTGCACTTCAGTGAACTTTGGAGTGATGCTGCGCTTCGGCAATTTAAATTGCTAATCACAAGTTTACTCAAATCTCTCATTTAACACCAAAAGAAGCATGCAGTCGACAAATATTTTTGAAAAAATTTCGAAAAATTGAATTTTAAAAGTCACTAAATTTATGTCATCCATCATGTCTGACATGATAACGATATTTAACTGAATGCATAAAAAAGAAAATTTTATAAAATAAAGCTATTACAACGCAAACATATTATTTCAAAGGTATTTAATCTGCTAAAAATATGTAGAAGTTTATTTATGCCGCACACAACATTTTATGGATCTCCAAACTCGGTCTTAAATTCATTCGATTTTACGGCCCGTGAGTGCCAAAAACTGAGGGGGGTGGTGATCTCGGGAACGAAGATATTTGGCTAATCGTAATCTTATCAGATACCTATCAAATGGTATAAATATTGAGGGAATCGGCGGACCCCCATCTTTTGACTCTGCCCGGTTTTCTCAGACAATGACTCTTAAGTTTCGACATAATTTAATATTCGAGATTTTTTATATGGTTGCCACTTACTCCAAAAGCAAGAGAAACACTGCTTAACATTTCAATACGAATACATATGTTCAGCTAGTGATGTGAAGCACTCCTGGGCTGTGGCATAACATTGTGTGTTAATGATATAAAGGAACAATTTGCGCACTTTACCTGTGTTGTTGCGCCGCCCCTTTTCTCGCTCGCTTCCTCTTTGTTGGTGGACTGGCTGGCTGACTGCACTGATCGAAGACACAGATGAGCAAAATGGAATGAACGAACGCAACGTGCAGCCCTGGGAAGCTTTACGTACCCCGACCCCGACCCTGACTCCGACTAACTAAGGTTTTTTTCCACATACGTCCCTCACTCCCTGTCCATCCTCTCCACCCTGCACCACTCGATTTCCCGCTGCCCTACTTCCCAACTCCGACTGACTGCAAATAGAAAAGAATGTTATTAAAAATAAGCTTCTGCAAAACTGAGGTGTCGGGAAGCTTGTGAAATTTGATCTGCTAGAGCTTGGGGTCTGAGTAAACTCGCTGTTAGGGAATAGTTTTTCATATAGCATTTTAAAAAAGGGATGAAACGTTGTGACAATGTGCTCTCTGCTGTTAAGGGAGATGTACAGGGGTCCAAGCATTGGTACAAGAGAAAGAATTCGTGGCTGAGCTGAGGTAATCGTTTGAGCAGAAGTAGAAAGAAGAGTTCTATGACGCAGATAGGAATAGGAGCGATCAATGTTGCAGTCAGGATTGCACATTATTGGTGGGTCGGAGGTGGTATACTTCTTGGAGCTGTGGTAGATAAGTTGACAAGAGTAAAATTGGCATGGCCAGTACCCAGGTTGAAGGAGAAAAAATACAACTTTTTTAAGTACTGATTTAGTGCAGTGTTGAGGACAATATTATAAACAGTGTCAAAGTCATGTCGTGATTTGAGTTCGAATTGTATTAGATGCATATTATTCATTTTCCGCACAGTTCTCACATGATCGCTGTCACAGTATTGAATAAGACAATAACACTATTACTTTTAATTACGTTTTTAGTAGACGTTTTTTTTTTTTGCTGAGAAAGATAACATGAGATTACTTTTCATATTATTATTGCCAACGTACCTTTGAAGACAAAAACATGTAATGAATTCAAATTTCTGCATTGGGTTGACTATAAATATTAGACGTCATTTTTTTAAATAATACTAGGTCAAACTACAATAGAAAACTTGACATGCACACTCTAGAACATAGAATTGATTATTTAAATAAATGCATACGTATGACTTCATACATTTACAATATGTAATCCAGATCATAAACTAACCAATTTAAACTTCAATAAAATAACAGATTTTTAGAATACCTTCACAAAATCGCAGCATACATGTATTAAGTAATTCGATCATTGGTTGTCATAGAGAAGCCATTAGCTTAGCTTTAGGACTTGCTTTGCTATGGCTATCAATATTTTATTAATCATTTTTCATTGCATTAGAGTTCTGCTTTCTAACTTAAAGAATAGGCTCGAGTCTTTTCAAGGACAATACTAACGAAATTGACTACACAGTAC